ATCCCCTTCCCCTCCCTCATTTCTGAAGAAGGGTCTAGACCCAAAACATCAGCTTTCCTGCTCCTCTGATGCTGCTTGGCCTGCTGTGTTCATCCAGCTCTACACCTTGTTATCTCAATACTTCTAATGTACTTGATTTCGTAAAAAAAGGCAATTTCTTAAAGTTCCTTGTAGCAACAGACACGCTGGAAGCTGTCACCATCTGGAATAGCAACATTAGTACTCAAGTACCTGCATTTTCAGCAACAGTAAGCTTTATGTCATTGCGGTTTTCAAGGGTAATTTAGTAACAGAATTTGGTCGTTACATTCGTGGTACGTTATAAAAGCTTAATTATATTGAGCAAGTTTGAACCATTGAGTTAACCATTTTTAACAAAAGTCCGATAGTTCTTGTGCAGCCAAATAATCATCTTGGCTACAACTTAGAGATTATAATGCAGCCTCATCATAATACATAAAGGTTAGTTTAAAAACTTCCACAATGTAGTGAATATGGAGACTAGTTCTGAAAAATCTCTTTCACTTTCTGTAATTTGTGACAATAGCCAGGATTTTCCCGCAGGCATCAGGACCCAATAACGATTTTTAATCTGTACTGAGTGACAGCAAGTCTGACACAACAGTGTACCCAGAGATGGCCTCCTCACTTGCTGCCTTTCAGCTCAGTTTCTTAAGGCTGGCAGGAGGACCCTAATCAGCAGGCTGGCAGCTCTGAAGCATCGTAGCCCCACTGGGATCTTTCATAGTTGAGATAAGAGAGAGACATCAAGAGCATATTAAAACCTTTGGAGGAATAAAATTAAATGTATGAATTAGAGGAGGGAAGATGGTAGGCCCCTCACTGTTGAGGGGATACCCTTTCAGATGGCACTTTGGATGGCAGGAACGGACGGCTACTGCATGGTTGACTCTCTTACTGATGAGCTTTGCCTGTGGCAGACAGCCAGACTGCTATCAGCAAAATCTCCCCTAAATAGGATCTCAACGATATCAAGTGACTGCCCAGCCTCTCTGTTGGACTCTCACTTGTCACCCTATCTCCCTGTGGCTCGTAATAATCAGGCCAGGAGTTTTGTTGTTGCTCTAGAATCCTTTCCAGCAGTTCTAGGTACTTCTACTCAGTATTTCTATTTACTTGAACATGATTAAGATTGGAAATGATCTTATTCATCCTTTGTGCATCTTGATCTATTTGACAAGTCTATGCCATGTCATTGATTGTGATGCTGTCAGCAGTCAGCATCATCACTCCTCAAAACTAACAGTAACTCCAGAGTCCAAATATGCGCAAATAAATGCAGAAGTTGATATCAGTGTTTCTCTGCTTCACTGTTTGGTATGCTGTTGACCTTGCTGCAGAAATCACTAAATTGATGTGGGATTACCCATTCTTAAACTGCAACGTCGTTGTTTTAAAAACTTTCAAAAAAGGTACATCTTGTTCCTCAGATGTAATTGAATTTTTAACGGCTTGCTAAGTCATAATTACTGCTAAAGAACCTGTCTGTTTCTGGAAAACTAATTTAATATTTCTATAATGCTATATTTTTCCATTCTGATGATTGCATATTTTTAATATGACTTTCAAAATTTGATGAAATTTTGGCTTCTATTACTCACTCTTTATTTTGCCCTGTATAAAATTTATAAAAGTCATTGATAATCAGTGAGTTTACTTCCTGGTTTGCTGTCTGTAAGAATGTGATTAGTTTCATATCCTACTTGATGGATGCCTGGAGATCCCCTTGACTCGGTGCCAGATTCAAATTAATATTGGGAAAGGTTAACATATGGATTGCTGATCCTTTTATGAGACTTCCTTCTAGATCACTAGTGAATAATATCTCTTCATTACTAACTGCAAAATCCAGGCCACTCTTTCAAAATGGCC